CCGGGTTGCGGATGTCCGCTGCCTTCACTGACCCTCGGGCAAACTAGAACGGTCCTTCTCCTCCAGAACTTAGCATAATGGACCGCCAGAATCCCGACTCGTCGTACTTACTCATGTCTATGAAAACCCCTCGTCCTTCAAAACATGCATTGAGCCCCGCTTCTTCGAGACTCCAATCTTCATTGTTCAACCGGAAGGTGATCCTCTCCAACTGGTTGGTCATCGCCCTTTTTTGCTTCTCCACGGTGCTCAAGAACTCAAGCACCATCCTCTTATATGTCCCCGGTCGAGTACCGAAGACTCCAGCCAAACCGATCCTGCTCCAAAGAGGCCTCACCGCCTCATGTATGCCAATAACGCGCTCGGTGGCCTCATCGGGATACCGGGTTGGCTTAATAGCCATCTTTGCGAGTCGGGTCCATCTCTCTCTCTGCCAGTCGTGCGGCAGTATAACTCACAACTCGCTCCCCGGAGTTGCTTCGACCTCGATATTCTCATTAGCCCGTGTTAGTCGAGGATTCTGTGGACGGTTCGGTGGACGATTCGCAAGAGGTGGGACACCGGCACCCCCGCTATTCCTTGTTTGCCTACGATTGTTCATTTTGTACCTACATTTGCAAAATTCAATATATCAACCTCAACATCCCCAATAATCACAAACACGAAATCCATCAAAGACAAAACTCACATAATAATCTCCAATATCAACACACAACTCAATTTTTTTAAATTCCAAACAAGTACCAAAAGAGAGCAAACATCAACAATTATCCAAACAAATCAACAAAATTCACAACTTTTCATCAACTCTCTTACACATCACAAACCCACAAAATCTCCACTCTTTCATAACCCCAACATCAATGACTAGTTCTTCACAGAAATCATAAACCACAAGCATGAACCAAAAGAAGAGTAAAAATCAACTCAACACTAATCCATAATCAATAAAACCACACATTCCATCCAAATTCACCGCATATTCATCAACAATTCTCAATGACATCACCAAAGTAAAGGACATGTGCAAAACATTCATCGCAACGAGCTCATTCACCTCACTTTACCTTCTTTCAACAACACAAATTCACACAAAATTCACTAAGGCCAAGAACATTACAAGTAAGCTCAAAAATTACTTCATGATATGCAATACATCACCCCCTTTCTCATACATAACAATTATCATGAAAAATCATATGAAAAAGAGGGCAAATTCATCAAAAGAGTCACGCACATGAGGTGTTCGATGAAATTCCTCAACAAGTTCTTAACCCTAGCATCAAGTTAATGCTCAAAACACATCACCCATACCTCAAATCGACGTCCAAAACGTGAAACTACAAGAAAAAGGAAGAGTATACGTACCTTCTTCGATGAATTCGAGCAAATCCCAAATTAAGCCAAACCCTAGGTCTAAGAACACCAAAATTCCTTCACTTTCTCAAGCAATTTTTGTAAGCAAGAGATAAGGTGATGTGTGTGTGTGAATTTCGTGAAGAAATCGAGCACAAGAAGCAAAAGAAAACGAAATTATAGAGAGATTCGCGAGAGAGACGAGAGAGACACGAGAGAACGTTCGGTCGTGTGCGTGAGAAGGTGAACAATAGGCTTTTAAAATCTGACCTGGTCGTCACACGACCCGTGTCTTAATGACACACGAGTCGTGTAATCGTAAAAAAAAATGAAAAATCCGCCCAGACTCACACGAGTCGTGTCCAAGTAACACACGACTCGTGTGACAACACACGACCCGTGTCACATACTCACACGGGTCGTGTGAAAAAGCCGAACCTAAACTCGAAACTCTCTTTTTTCCCCCAGGTCACACGAGCCATGTCACTAGGCCACACGACTCGTGTGGACCTGGGACCCTTCTTTTTTTTTTTTTAATAAATAAAATCAAACTAAGCCTATTCTAAAGAAAAACTTAAACACGAGATCATTGGGTTGCCTCCCAATAAGCGCTTAAACGTCTTTAGCTAGACGAATACCTGGCAGACCTTTAGTCGTTCAAATAGACGATGAAGATTGTCTTGGCTTGCTCCGGGCTGAAGTATGGCTTAATCCGCTGAGCATTCACCACGAATGTAGTGTCGTCACTTCCCGCCAACTCCACGGCTCCATTTGTCATCATCTTCGTAATTACGAACGGTCCAGACCACCTCGACTTGAACTTATCGGGAAAGAGCTTGAGTCGCGAATTGAAGAGTAGAACTTGTTCGCCTACAGCAAATTCTCGCTTCCTAATCAATTTGTCATGGTATCTCGTCGTCTTCTCCTTATAGATACGAGAACTCTCATACGCCTCCGTGCGAAACTCGTCCAATTCATTGAGCTGCAACTTCCTTTCGAGCCTGGCTTTTTCGAAGTCGAGATTAATCTTCCTCATAGCCCAATATGCCCTGTGCTCTAATTCAACAGGCAAGTGACATGATTTACCAAAGACCAATTGATATGGAGACATACCTAGAGGAGTCTTGTACGCCGTCCGATAAGCCCACAATGCTTCGTTGAGGTGATTCACCCATTCCTTACGACTCCTAATGACCTTCTCGAGCACTTGCTTGATCTCCCGATTAGCCAACTCGGCTTGCCCATTAGCTTGAGGATGGTACGCCGTCGTCACCTTATGCTTCACTCCATACTTGGCAAGGAGACTTCGAAGCCACTTATTACAAAAGTGCGACCCACCATCGCTAATCAATGCCCTCGGAGTCCCAAAGCGTGTAAGGATATTCGCTCTCAAAAATTTCAACACCTCCTTAGCATCATTCGTCTTGGTTGGCACCGCCTCAACCCATCTCGAAACATAGTCCACTGCCAAAAGAATATACTTGGACCCATAAGACACCGGGAAAGGTCCCATAAAATCGATCCCCCATACGTCAAAGAGTTCTACCTCAATGATGTTGGTGAGGGGCATCTCATCTCGCCTAGAAATTCCTCCCGTCCGTTGGCACCTATCACAAGATAACACGAACCGGTGACAATCTTTATAAATAGACGGCCAATAGAAGCCGCTTTGCAACACCTTGATGGCGGTTCGGTTTCCCCCGAAGTGACCTCCGCCCGCTGATGAATGACATTGTCTCATGATTTCTCCCCATTCCTCTTCGGGGACACACCTTCTAATAATCATGTCCGCGCACCTCCGGAATAGATACGGCTCGTCCCAATAGTAGAACTTCACATCATGAAAGAATTTCTTCCTCGCATAATAGGACAAATTCGGAGGTGGTACGCCCGACACCAAGTAATTCACATAATCGGCGTACCAAGGTAGGTGGGCCCGAACGTGCATCATGTGCTCATCTGGAAAATCTTCATTAATAGGGACCAACCGATCATCCCCTTCAACTGGGCCCTCCAACCGAGATAAATGATCCGCCACAACATTCTCGCATCTCTTCCGGTCCCGGATTTCTAGATCAAACTCTTGAAGTAAGAGCACCCATCGAATCAATCTTGGCTTGGCATCCTTCTTCGCCATGAGGTGTCGAATTGCCGCATGATCGGTAAACACGATTGTCTTCGTCCCAACAAGGTAGGGTCGAAACTTGTCAAACGCATACACCACCGCTAGCATCTCTTTCTCCGTAGTCGTGTAATTTACTTGAGCTGGATCCAACGTCTTGCTCGCATAATAAATCACTCGAAAGATTTTATCTCGCTTTTGGCCCAAAGCGACCCCCACGGCTACATCACTCGCAGCGCACATCAACTCGAACGGTTGCTCCCAATCCGACACAATCAAAATAGGAGCACTAATAAGGGCCTTCTTCAATGTCTCAAAAGCCTGCAAACACTTCTCACTAAAATCAAATGCAACATTTTTTTCTAATAAAACACTAAGAGGTTTAGCAATTTTTGCAAAATCACGAATGAACCTCCTATAAAATCCCGCATGGCCCAAGAAACTTCTTACCGACTTCACGTTCGTAGGAGGTGGAAGTTTTTCAATGGCTACAATTTTTGCCCGATCTACCTCGAGTCCCGCGGAAGACACACGATGCCCAAGAACTATACCTTCCTTCACCATAAAGTGACATTTCTCCCAATTTAAAACAAGGTTAGTTTCTTCACATCGCTGCAACACTCGAGATAAATTAGCCAAGCAATTATCAAATGAAGTACCAAACACCGAAAAATCATCCATAAACACCTCCATAATATTCTCAATTAAATCATGAAAAATTGCAATCATACATCTTTGAAAGATAGCAGGAGCATTACATAAACCAAAAGGCATCCTACGATAAGCAAAAACACCATAAGGACATGTAAAAGCCGTCTTCTCTTGGTTTTCTGGAGCTATCAAAATTTGATTGTATCCGGAATAACCATCAAGAAAACAATAAAAATCATAACCCGCTAACCTATCAAGCATTTGATCCACAAAAAGCAAAGGAAAGTGATCCTTACAAGTAGCGGCATTTAATTTACGATAATCAATACAAACACGCCAACCTGCCAAAAGCCTAGTAGCAACAACACCATCATGCTCATCTTTCACAATAGTCATCTCCCCTTTTTTAGCCACAACTTGCGTAGGACTAACCCATTCACTATCAGAAATAGCAAAAATCATCCCCGCATCTAACAATTTAAGAACCTCTTTTCTTACTACTTCTTGCATAATTGGATTTAGCCTACGTTGATTTTGAACACATGGCTATAATTATCCTCAAGCAAAATTCTATGCATGCAAATAGAGGGACTACTACCTTTTAAATCACTAATCGACCACCCAATCGCCGATTTATGCCCTCTTAAGACTCTTAATAATTTCTCAAGTTCCGAATTAGAAAGGTAAGAAGAAACGATTACCGGAAACGTGTTATTCTCTCCAAGATAAGCATACTTCAAGTGCTCCGGTAAAGGCTTCAATTGTAACTTCGGGACTCCATCTTTCTTTTCTCCATGACTTGCACTTGGTCCCGACTCATCACGTCTCAACTCCAAAAATACGGCCTGCCTCTTCGGGATTTTCCTACAACAATCCAACACATTAACACATTTAAATAATTTTTCTTGAAAAGGATCAAATGAAGAAGAAGAAAATAATGATTTTTGAACACATAGATCAAAAGGGTCTCTAGACGAAGAAGTAATCATGTCATTGTCGAAGGAAGCCTCGACAACTTCAATCACTTTACATTCTTTGATCTCAACATCCTCATTATTATTCTTCATTGCTTGATATATGGAAAATGTGATGCTCTCTTCATCAACCCGGAGAGTAAGCTCGCCATTCTTCACATCAATCAACGCTTCCCCGGTTGCAAGAAACGGACGACCCAAAATTAGTGGAACCCCCTTATCTTCCTCCATGTCAAGGACCACAAAATCAGCCGGGAAGATAAACCCCTCGACTTTCACCAATACGTCTTCCACAATCCCCTTCGGATAAGACAAGGATCTATCCGCCATTTTCAATGCAATCGTAGTGGGCCTAATCGTCCCAATCTCCAACCTCTTGAAAATTGATAGTGGCATGAGATTGATGCTTGCTCCTAAGTCGCACAACACCTTCCCGAACCGCTTTCCTCCTATAATGCATGCTAATGTGAAGCTCCCGGGATCCTTGCGTTTGAAAGGCATCTTCTTTTGGATCATAGCACTACACTCCTCCATCAAGTTCACTTTCTCATACGCTTTGAGCTTCTTCTTCCTAGATACCATGTCCTTCAAGAACTTGGCATATTTGGGCATCTCCTGCAATGCATCAACAAGCGGAATATTTATTTGAACTTTAGTAAATATTTCACGAAATTTGGCATATTGTTCATCAATTTTTTTCTTTGCAACACGTTGAGGAAAAGGTAAAGGAATATTAGGAGTAGAAGTGTTAGAAGTAGATTTTGGCTTCTCAGCCCCTGTAATTGCCGATTTTGGGGGCTCCACTACTACTTCCTCAACTTCTTCCTCTTCCTTGCTTTCCTCAGGCTCGACTTTTCCCGGCTCATTAGTTGGCATCCTTGGTCCCTCATACTCCAAGCCACTCCTTAGACGGATGGCTTTGCATTGTTCCTTCGGATTCACCTCTGTGTTGCTCGGAAATTGTCCCCTCTGCTGTAGACTTCCAACTGCCGTGGCCAACTATCCAATTTGTTGTTCCATTGACTTCATTTGCTTCTCCAAGGTAGAGTGCTTAGCCTGAGATTCGCCCATGAATTGTTGCATTTGAGTCATGAACGAGGCGAACATCTCTTCGATTGTCGGCTTCTTCGGCTCATTGATGACCCCGTTGGTCACCGAAAATCTGGGAGGTTGTTGTAGAGCATTATTCGGATTTGCATATGATAAACTGGGGTGATTCCGGTTGCCTTGGTAATAAGTGTTCCCCGCTTGAGGTCCCCGAAAATTCCCAAAATTCCGATTATTCACATAATTCACGTCCTCGACCGGTTCCCCAACTCCTAAGCTCTCAGCCTTTCCCCCTTGCATGTTGTTTATCATTAATGCTGCTATTTGAGTCGCCATCGAAGCGGCTGAGTCCGCCTCATTCGTAGTCGCCACTCTCTTGAGCATAGTCCTCTCAACCGGCCACTGATAGCTATTCGATGCCATCTCCTCAAGAATTCGCTTCGCGTCATTCGGTCGCCTTCCCAAAAGGGCACCTCCAGCTGAGGCGTCCACCATAGCCTTCATCGGGCCACTCAATCCATTATAGAAATAACAAATTTGGTGCTTCTCCGAATATCCATGCTGTGGGCACGTCCGAAGGAGTTGCGTGTAACGCTCCCAGGCCTCGTATAAAGGCTCACCATCTTGTTGCTTGAATTGAGTGATCTCCGTCTGAAGTCTCAACATCTTACTCGGTGGGAAGAACTTCAAGAGAAATTTCTGAAGCATCTCATCCCATGTTGTCACTGTCCCGGCCTCAAGAGAATTGTACCACACCTTGGCTTTATCTCTAAGAGAGAAAGAGAAAAGCCTAAGCCGGATAGCGTCCTCCGGGACTCCATTGTACTTCACTGTACCACATATCTCCAGAAATTGCGCCAGATGCACATTCGGGTCCTCGATTGCAGCTTCCCCAAACTGCTCTTGCTGCACCATTCGAATCAAGGACGGGCTCAACTCAAAAGTATTAGCCGCAATTCTCAGCCCGTGACCTCCTCCGTATACTTGGTCAGCATGAGGTTGGAAGATGTTCCGAACCGGTGTTCCTGTCTCTTGTTGAGCCTGCTGCGCAGCCAGTTGGCATTGTAGCTCCGCCATTTGTGCCTCGAGTTGTCTATACCTCTCTTCACCTTGTTCCTCCATTGCACCTCTCAGTCATTGTTGTAGTCTCCGATTTGCGTTGTTCCTTCGACAACTAGCTTCAATCTCGGGGTCAAATTTCAGGGGTGAATTCCCACTAGACCTCGTAATCATGCACGTGCCTGTCAAAACACACAAACCAAAAAGGATGCAATTAAGAACCAAAGTATTAAACAAAAATAAGAATGACTAAAGTAATATCTACCCGTCTTCTTCTAATATTAATTAATTTTAACAAAACAATCCCCGACAACGGCGCCAAAAACTTGTTCGCAAAATATTTTTACTACCCGCAAGCGTACGGAGTAGCTGCAGAAAGCGGCGAGCAAGGTCGTATTCCACAGAGACTGTTGTTAAACTAATTAAGTACCAAAATATAGACGATTAAATATTATCTAGACTAATGCAAATTAGATTGGAGTTTTTATTCTAAACTAATGAATGAATGCAAAAATAAATTCTAACACTAATGAAGGCTTATTCTAAATAAATCAAGTATGAGAAAATAGATTTGTTATCATCCGACTCGGCAAAATACCATTAAGGGGTTTCAAGCATCATGTTAAGAGAAATTAACAATTGACCCGATGTGACCCTCAACCACATCGGTCCACGCAGTGAACCGGTCCGAACTACCAAAGACCGAAGTGATCAATATCTACCGAGGTCCACCTTAACCGAGGTCGTCACCTCCTTAAGCAGGTGACGAGGCGCCTACACACTCCCATCACACTCTACGAGATTCGTCATCATTCATGTGGGGACCACTGCTCCAAACCGCCCACTAAAAGTTACTTTATACAAAAGTAATACACAAATTTCAATGTATCCATCAAAAAAGTTGCTATAAATAGCAACCCAATGACATTTGTACGGGGATCCCGAATTCATAAAACATGCAACACGTAAAAGCCCATCATGGCTCTTCACCTCGGTTCACCTCGGACCGGGGCCATTGTTAAGTTATTTCTACATGCTTTACGTCCAAACCGTTCATAATTATCATCTTAATCACTTGTTACATCGTTGTTAGAAATCATATAACAACAGTTTGGCGCTAGAGGAAGGGGCTCATAAGTGATTTGAGGTCAATCTCCGCTTTTCCAAGTGACGATTCACACCAGCCATATCCACCATGTCTCACTCAGATCATCGTGGTCACACCTCACGAGACGGCCACAGTCGCAGCGCCGCGCAATCTGCCAGACGACAAGCCGTGGCCCCACCTGTACCGGATTATGCTGTTCTGTTTCAAAATCCGGAGTTTGCACGTGGTTTTGCCGCTCTAATGGCCCAAACGATTCCGGGAACATCAACGACCGCTCCGGGACACTCCATCATTCCCACGACTCCCGCAAACCGGCAGAATCCACCGGCGCGACAAGACGGCGGAAGGACAACATCTCATGCTACATCTCAACCTCATGATCGAATGTCGCAACCGCCTCCGGAACAAAATACGCGTCGCACCGACGCCGGGCGCAATCCTCCTATACTTCCTCAAGAAGAAACTACCGAAAGCCAGTCGGGTCATTCGCGACGATCACCGCCTCATACACAGCGCCGAAATCCCTCCAACCCGGCGCAGACAGACCTTCGACAGCATATTGAACGAAATCGGGCTCGTCAAGAGTCATCCGAACTCGAAACACTGCGACGAAGAATAGCCGAATTGGAAAGTCGGCAACGGGCACCTGAAGATCCACCTCGGCGGGCCTCCACCTCGGCGCAAGTGTATTTGGAAGCCGATTCTCTCCTTACTCCGGAGCTCACTTCGGAACCAGTACCTAGAAAAGTCAAAGTCCCCCAGATCGGGCTGTATGATGGAACATCTGACCCGGACTCGCACCTCGGTCATTATACTTCTTGGATGGATCTGCATGGGGCCTCAGATGCACTTCGGTGTCGTATGTTTTCACTTAC